CGGGCACACTGACAAAAGACCTTTTGTTATGGTTAGACAAATAAGAATAATTAAATGATACGGCGGCATATTTGTTGTTGTTGTTGTTGGTGCCCTTGTCCTTGCTATCATTCTTTTTGTCCTTGCTCTTCACCTCCTTGCTATCTTTTGAAGCATGGTATGACACATCATCATCTCCATCGTCTGAGCTACTAGAGAGCTCACTAGATGATGCATCATACTCATTCTTCTCCTGCTCTTGAGCTCTTGCTGCCCTTCTCTTAGCTCTTGCCTCTCTTGTGATTCTTCTAGCTTCTTTTCTCTTTTTCTTGTCTTTGAGCCGCTGCTCTTCTTTCTTCTTTTCTCTAGCTTCTCTTGTTGCAATCTTTGTGGCTTTTCTTTCTTTTCTTGCCTTTCTTCTTTCGGCATCGGTGGTCTTGGGTTCTTTGATGGTGGCATCACTTGCTGTGGACATGGACAGCTCGCTACTGCTGCCGACATCCTCAATGTGCACACCACTTGCGTCTGCAACGCGAACGTTCTTCGAACCTTCTCCTTCTTCCATACTTCACACGGTGAAGCGTATACGAAGCAACCTCGCTCTGATACCACTTGTAGGATCTACAGGAAGATAAAGAAGGCCTAGAGGGGGGGTGAATAGGCCTGTAAAAAATCAACTCAAAACTCTGTTAGAACAGAGGGCGGCACTATCGCTCTATAAAAAATAATCTAACACAGTGGAGATTTAACAAATATAAACCTGACCCCACTAACTACTTAATGATGCAATATAAAGCCAAGATCCAGTTCAAAGACTGGATACCATAGAAACTTCACACAACAGTGAATCGAGCAACTAAACCCTAGCAACAGCTAGCAATAAGGTAAACCGCAAGTATAGTAAAGATGAAGCATGTGAGACACAAGATTAATCCTGTGGTTCAGCTCACCACTAAGGTTTGCCTAAGTCCACATTGTTGAGGAAGCCACAAAAGGCTTGAGCTTGCCACCAAGGCTTGCCTTACCCTCGTTCTCAAATCAATAGAGTAAACTCTTGAAGTGAGGGGTGATTTCTTAGCTTTCAAATAAGGTTACAAACCTCCCAAGGCTGTCACACGAGTTGGCAAGCACAAGGGCGACGCCTAGCCGGCTAGAAGTAGCTCCAAGAGTAACAAACTCTAGAACCGCCGGCCAAACGTGAACCAAATGCTCTTAGACTTTGAGAATCAGTGGATCTTCTCTCCAATCGAGTTTTGCTGCCTTTTCTCTCAAGTTTTGATGGTTGAAATCAAGGATTAGCTTGAGGGATGGAGGAGCAACAATGGAGGAGAGAGGTGAGCTTTGGTTCTGTCTGGTTTCGAGCAGAATGACTTAGTGGAGAAGATGACCGTTGTGGGCCAGGCCAGAAGGGTATAAATACCCCTCGAGCCCAACGGTCGGTTAAGGGCGGCACTACCGCTCTTAACAAGATGGCACTGCCGCCCAAACCAAAGCAGGTAATATGATCTGAAATTTAGTTGGCTATTTTGACTAGGTAAGAGGATGTAGATATGTGAATTTGAGCATCTGATTCAACAGTTGACCAACTGTCCTAAAATCCCTCTTAATAGTACGGCTTTCCCTAAACTCAATTTCAAAACATAAAAGAATTTAAACCTCCTTTGAGCTAGGTCCAGCCACCTTTTGTAATTAAGACACATGCAACCTGTACATCATCCTCATTCTTTGATTCCCTGCTTGTCATCTTGATAAATCTCATTAGTCCTCTAATTTGGTGGTCAACAATACCAAAACCCACATTATGGCTTGATTGCACTTACACACAGTAATACTACGTGATCAGACGCGCTGTTAGAAAACGACTGGACCCAGGAGACGCAGCGTTAGGTCGAGTCCAGAGAGCTCCCAGAGCCGCTCTCGGCCGACCGAACACGTCCGATCACACCGGACCGGACACTCCCAACGTTCGATGAATTATTGCGCTGAAAACCCGAGACTTGCTGGTTCACACCGGACGCGTCCGATGCGGCGATCGGACGCGTCTGGTCGCTCTCTACAATCCTACATCGGGCTATATCACTTTGACCTGACGCTGAACAATAACTCGTCAGCGTCCGGTCACTCCATCGAGCCAGAGTCCGGTCACTTTCACTTAGTCGCTTACCTCGGGTCCAAATATAGGACGCATCCGGTCCTGATTCGGAACATGTCCGGTCACTTCTGTCTGACTACCCCAAGACTGGATAAAATACCGAACGCGTCCGGTCCCAATTTCGGACATGTTCGGTCACTCTGTGACCAGCGCGACTAACTTCTTTTCAACTCTATCTTCTTTACCCTTGCTCAAATGTGACAACCACCAAGTGTATCACCTTGTGCACATATGTTAGCATATTTTCATAAATGTTTTCAAGGGTGTTAGCACTCCACTAGATCCTAAATGCATATGCAATGAGTTAGAGCATCTAGTGGCACTTTGATAACCGTATTTCGATACGAGTTTCACCCCTCTTAATAGTACGGCTATCGATCCTAAATGTGATCACACTCACTAAGTGTCTCGATCACTAAAATGAAAAAGCTCCTATCAAGTTTCACCTTTGCCTTAAGCTTCTTGTTTTTCTCTTTCTTCTTTCCCAAGTCCAAGCATTTGATCATCACCATCATCATGATCTTCACCATTGCTTCATCACTTGGAGTAGTGCTACCTATCTCATAATCACTTTGATAAACTAGGTTAGCACTTAAGGTTTCATCAATTCACCAAAACCAAACTAGAGCTTTCACGCGTCCGGTCATGCGCGGCAGAGAGAGAAGCGCTGAGCTTGGCGGTGATCGGACGCTAAAGGAGGCGCCCGACCTGACACCGTGTGAACACTGTTCACACGTCAGGTCATGGAGTCGGTGCATGCAGAGAGAAGAGGAGGCGACCGGACGCCGGGCGTGTCAGGTCATCACCGACCGGGCGCGTCCAGTCACTCAAAAACCTCTCTGTGTAGTTTCTGTACTTGACCGGGCTCTATGTGTTGGTGCGTCCGGTCATTGGAGCAACGCGTCAGGTCATGACTTAACATTTCACGCAACTGAGAGATGGCCGTTGAGATCTAACGCATGGGATTCAATGGCGCGACACATGGCGACCATCGGCTGACCGGACGATGGGTGCGTCCGGTCAGGTTCTTTCGATCATCTATAAATAGACCAAGGGCTCTATTCTTGTGAGGGAGTCTATAAATAGACCTTGGCCGTCTTAGGGCTCACTCTCTTGCATATTTTCATCAGTGATATATCCTTGTGAGCTTAAGCAAATACCTCCCACTCATTTCCATTATTGATTCATCATTATAGTGAGATTAGGAGTGATTCCTAGTGTATTTGCTTGAGTGATTGCATCTATTGGCACTTGGGGATTGTTGTGGCTATGGATTTCTTGTTACTCTTGGTGTTTGTCGACACCTAGACAGCTTAGAGCAGTAAAGAGGCATTGGCACGAGTTGGTGATTGTTCGTGGCTATCTCCCGGTGATTTGTGAGGGGTCTTGTGCCTTCTCCGGCGGAGCGCCGAAAGGTAACTCTGATGGATTGCTTGTTTCATTGAGTTACCTCACTTGTGGGTAGGTTCTTGCGGTGCCAAGTGTTGGCTAGATGTGTGATACCTATTAGCCGCCGAACCACCAAGTGTTGGTCGGCACAACAGGGACTAGCGTGCCGACAAGCACGTGAACCTCGAGAGAAAAATCTTGTGTCCATTGTGATTAGTATTCTCCCGGTGATTGATTGGATATTCATTGATTGGTTCATCTCCCTTGCCACGGCAGTATAATCTTCCAACACTCTCTCTTGTATTTATTTTATTTACGTTTCTATCTAGTCAAGCTCTTTTGTGTAGTTAGTCTGTGAGAGCTTGTTAGTTTGATTAGTGAGGCTCTTTAATTAGTCTTTGAGAGCTCACTAGCTTAGAGAGTAGTGACATAGCCTTTGTGTAAACCTAGAGATCATAGCAACTATAATTGTTGGTATATGTGTCTTGCAACCCTTGTAAAGTTTAAGCAAAATTGTTTTTCGCTATTTAGGATACTAACCTTGTGCTCTAGTGATTTTGTAGAAATTTTTTATAGGCTATTTACCCTCTTTAGCCATTTAGGACCTTTCACCGTCCCCACCGCTTTCGCTCCCACTGTCATGCTTTCATTATTTCGCCCAATGAGTCAAGCCCGGTCTTTGTTAGTGATGGTGGTGGTGGTGCTTTCATGTGGCCCGACCTTGACCCCAACGGTTTGGAATTGCCCAAATTTTCGGCTCCCCATGTTGCATCGCATGTTTCAAGTGTTTTCAGATGTTTCGTAGGTATATTTTAAGTGTTTTATGTAGATGTTGCAAAAGTAAATCGGGATGTTGCATATGTTGCGATGATTGTACACGTATGTTGCAAGTGTTTGTTCCTAATGTTTCATCTGTTCTTTTTTTCCAGACGTATGTGTGTAAGTGTGTTTATTTGAATGTTGCATATGTTTTCACACATATGTTGCAAGTGTTTTATCTGAATGTTACGTATGTTTGTAATTGTTTTTCATGTGTTTTTGCATGTGTTTCAGACGCATGTTTCTAATGTTTCAGCTGTTTCGTACGTATGTTGCACTTATTTTATTTGGATGTTTTAAAAGTAGATCGAGGTGTTGTGCATGTTACAATTTAACCCACTTGCCAGAATCGCTAGGGCACCGTGCCGTGCATGGAGGAGAGCGCGCAACACGTGGAAAGGCGCGGAAACCAGCGAAGCGTGGGAGAGTGGCGCAGCGTTGCGAGTAAAGGCACGGGCGTCCGGACGTGGAGGTTTGTCCTGTCGTCCAGACGCTGCCATCTTTATATAAAAATAACAAATTCAAGCGATAACCAATAAAAATATTTTGTAGATAGATCCACAAACATTCAATTGCAATAAAAGATGTTAGTCAGCTAACGAAATTACGAAACTCGTATCATTCCCAGGGGCCGGGCCAGAAGCAAGCCGCCGGCCGAGAGATGCCGAGTGATCGCCCTCGCCGCCGGGCCCTCCTTCCGCTCAACCTGCCCCGGCACATTCCATACTCCCGCGCGCTGCAGCAGCGCCTCTTCCTCGTCGCGCAGCACCTCAGCCGCTCCCGGTCCCCTTCTGCCATCCGCCGCGGCCTCGATCAGCTCCACGCGCAGCTCCTCCTCAACGGCTTCACCCACAAGCGCTTCCTCCTCGCCAAGCTCCTCTCCCTCGCTGCCGCCGCCGCCGACCTCCCCCGCGCAGAGTCACTCTTCCTCCTCTCCGTACCCCCCTCCCCGGCGTCCCCCACCCTCGCCAACCTCCTCCTCCGCGCCGCCGCCGCGTCAGGCGCCACGCCCGGCGCCCTGCTCGCGTTCTTCTCCCGCCTCGTGGGCTGCCACGGGCTGCGGCCCAACGCATTCTCTTTCTCCACCCTCTTCTCTGCTATCGCCCCCGCGGGGGCCGGGGCGCTCCCCCACGGCCGCGCCCTGCACGCCCGCGCCCTCGCGGGCGGGATGCTCGCGTCGACCGGCGAGAGTGGCCATGTGATGACCAGCCTCGTCGACGTGTACGCGGCTGCCCGCCAGCTCGGGGACGCCCGTAAGGTGTTCGACGAAATGTCAACCAGGGCGGTGGCCGCGTGGAACTGCATGCTCGCCGCGTACGTGCGGTGCGGCGAGGTGGACGCCGCACTGCGGTTCTTTGGCGAGATGCCCAGGAAGGACGCGGTAGCATGGACGACAGTGATCGGTGGGTGCGCGAATGCTGGGAGGGCAGCAGAGGCAGTGGAGCTGTTCTGGAGGATGAGAAAGGCACGGGTCAAGGATGACGCAGTGACCATGGTTGCCTTGCTGACGGCCTGTGCGGAGCTGGGTGACCTGGAGCTTGGGCGGTGGGTGCATGCGCGTGTGAACTTGGAAGGGTGGCAGCGGAGGACAGTGTTGCTGGACAATGCTCTCATCCATATGTATGTGAAGTGTGGTGCTGTGGAGGATGCACGCCGCTTGTTTGGGATGATGCCAAGGCGGAGCACTGTTTCTTGGACAACTATGATCTCGGGTCTTGCATTGCATGGTCACCCCCAGGAGGCGCTGGACTTGTTCCACAGAATGCAGTATCGTCCTGATGGTGCCACGCTGCTCGCAGTTCTGCGGGCGTGCAGTCTCGCAGGGAGGATTGATGATGCACGGTGGTACTTTGAGAGCATGGAAAGAGTTTATGGGATAAATCCAGAGATACAACACTATGGATGCATGGTTGACATGCTCTGTCGCTGGAGACGGTTGAATGAAGCACTTGAGCTTGTGGAAAAAATGCCATTCCAGCCAAACGAGGGTGCATGGGGTGCAATCCTGAGCGGATGTAGAAGGGAGGGCAACCTTGGGCTCGCAGCTAAAGTGACTGATAGATTAGTTGAACTGCAGCCAGAACGAGCGGCTGGGCACCTAGTGCTGCTGTCCAACATGTATGCTGGCGTTGGACAGTGGGAGCAGGCTCGGATGGTGAGGGAAAGAGTGGTTGCACTGAATGCTGAGAAACCTGCGGGCAGAAGCTGGGTGAATCAGAATGAGTCCAGCATGGTGGAAGCACAAGCCCAACTGGTTGATCCGTGACTCAAAAGCAAAAACCTTTCAAAAGACTGTACATACTGTAAACCGCCATACTTGAAGTAGAACTGCAATTATTTGGTTGTCAGGTGTTGAGTCTTGACATTTTTGCACTGGCATAGATGCAAATGGATTAGTCTTCAACAAATCTTCACCACCTTCAGATTGCCTGTGATACTGATGCACTCTTGTTCCTTTCCAGGTTAACACGTATCCGTTGTTTTACATTCTTTTGTAGCACTTATTACAGGGTAAAATTGGTAGAAACAGTTATATTATATTGTAGTTCCAACTACAACTCTTGTTGTTGCAGGTCACCTCACTGTCACAACAATGATGAAAAACCTACACAAATCCTAGCAGAAATACATACACAAGCCAACCTACCTAGTTCACCTAAAGAAAAAAAAACAGTATCTGATATCAATCTGATAAACTTCCAATCTCCTATCCAATATAAACCTATGGTGTTTGCTATTTCAAATGTCGACAAGTTGCTACTGTATGCACTCTAACTTTGTGATAATACTGAAATCAACTAGTTGTTGATATCAGCAGCAGTGAAGGACCCTTTCCACTGTCATTCAAGAAGCTTGTTGCAAGTGCCAATGCCAATCGCAGCAGCAAGATGCCATGCAGCATGGATATAGGGAGTCTCCGGGAAGCAATCGTCGGCAATGAACAGCGCACCTCCCAGCAGAGATGACATTTTGTGCAGGTTATGTGCCATCCTGAGCTCTGGCTCAATTGATGCTCTTCTTGCAAAGGAAACCTGGTGTTTATTAGGACAGTTAGATTTCAAACTAAATGTTCCATGGATCTTGAAGTGTTCTCTTTAATCTAGAGGATACGTTGGATTATTTGGATTACTTGCCTCCATCAATCCAGTGTGGACAGCTGAAACCATCAATGGCTGAAATGGCAGGAGCAATGCTGATGCTGCCATTAGTAATCTTGGGTTCTCGTTACTAAGTGCTCTCGACAAACACTGCATGAAATGCATAGTTGCCATGATGTTCAAATCCTGACGGTCTAACAATGGTACTTATCCTCAGTGCAGGGATATGATGACTTACCAGTGTGGTGGTAGCAATCATAGTGTAGTCAGCCCAGCGCAGAAACTTTCGGATTTCTCCTTTGGAAGAATGATACAAGCTCGAAGCTATTCCCACCCCAACCAGGGAATTCGCGTAGATAGCGGTGTTCAAGTTCTTCCTGCAGCATCAGTTGCCGGCCTGTTAGTAGAGTTTCTGTACTCAGCTGTCAGCAAACAAAGCATAGACGCATCTTGTCTGGGGATCACGAGATGTGCCTTGCCTTGGAGTCTGCAGTCCAAGAACAATGAAGGGCAGAGAGGTGACGACGTTCGCAATAGTCTCACCAGCATGCTTGTCACCTGCTCAAAATAGAAAGTTTTACTGGAAGGTAGATATCGCTATAGGCCTCGTTCGCTTGTCTTAAATTTGGTTTGTTCGGCTTATTTTTTCAGCCGAAACAGTGTTTTTCTCTCACAACAATTCAGCCGGAACAGTATTTTTCAGCCAGTTTCAGCCAAAATTTAGACCAGCGAACGGGACCATATTGGATTAGCAGATGGCAAGATTTACTACTGATGGAAGTTACCGTACATGTAATGGTGCAGTGGATGGGCTTCAAGCAAGAGGGTACCTGTTGCCATAGTCTTCTGCAGTTGCGAAAAGGCACCAGTCAGTGGTTGTGCCCAAATGGTGAACTTGTTTATGTTGACTAGTTTAACTACTGCGAATTTGCTCACCGGATCAGCAATCTTTGGTGCGTTGTACCACTCTTGTGGCGTTCACAGGTTGATGACTCTACTACAACGGTGGTTCGGAGAGCTTCATCCTCACTTTGTGCCGGCTGCGGTGGACGGCCACCAAGCTGCACACCGTAGAGGCTATCCAAGAAGGTAGAAGGGTTTCTACCATTCAGGGCTCCCATCTGTCCTAATCCTGTTCCTGTCTAAAGTGGTGAAACGCTGCAATCCACTCTATGCTCTTGAGCCCTGCGGATAAGATGCAGTCATGCAGTTGATGATTAACTTTGAGCAACAACTACGCTCGTTCATCTCTCAAACAAACTAGTCTTCACTCTTCAGCTGTATCCTTTTGATAAACAAAGGTCCTACATTTGTTCTAAGTATACTTACTAATGGGCTATGCTAGGAGGATTGTAGGGGGAGGCGCACCGCAAGATCGCAGGCGGTTAGCTACGAGAGAGAAAGAAACCCACCTTGCCGAGCGTGGTCTCCGCCCACCTCGCCGCCGGTCGTCGCTGCCTTGGTGGCCGCGCGCCCGATCGGCCGGCAAGGAGGCCGATAAATAGGCATTCGCGTCGCGCCGCGCCGCGCCGGGAGACGCCAAGAAATGGGAGCGCAGGATGCCGATTCCGAGGGGATCTTCCCTTGGCCACGCACAAGCTGGGCAGACTTCTCTCTCGTGCCGCCCGAATATTCTCGTCTGCCGGGCCGGTGGGTGCCGGGCTCATGGCAGCAATTGTGCGACAGGCTAGCTTTGCCGGCCCGTTAAAGTGACGAGCCGAAAGGGGACTGACCAGAAGGCCTTGCCCGCCTTGCAGTGAATCCTCCTCTGTCAAACAAAACAACAGGAAAAGGAGCGAAATGGAGCGGTCGGCTCGCTGCTGCGCCTGCGGAAGTGCGGACTGCGCGCACCTGGCAACGTTGCTTGCGCCTGCAGGCCGGTGGCAAACCTGGAGGTGTCAGGTCACCACGCATGGCGCCTCCCATCGGTAATTGTTGCGCCGGCAGTGCCAGGCTCTGCTCCTCGCAAGAGCCATCTGACCTACGCCCCCACGCTCGAGCACACAGCACAGCTCGCACGCAGGTCGCTTGATATGTCAACTCGGCAACAGAAAAAAGTTGCTTGGCGTGGTACAGTAGTTGGATCTCTGTGTTGGGCTCTGCTCTCATCACGCGATTTGGGTCACGCTATGGCAAACGGTCACGGACCTAACAGTTCTCTTTTCCAACAGCGAACATAAAAGGCATAGCAACAGCGGTTTGAGCGGCGTGACCGGAGCCAAACGCAGCATATATACAGCGAGAACCTTATTTGGGTTTCCCATCGCGTCCCAACTAAAATGGGTATGTCCTCTGCATCTTCTGTTAGACCCTGTTTTCTTCTGATAAAGCGACTTAAAGTAGGTATTTTGGGTTTGGGTGCCGTGATGCGTTGACCATTGGAGACAGCCTAAGATTAAACCATTGAGCACGACGGCCCTGTTCGTTTCGCTGAAATTTAGCTGCTGCTGATGCTAATTGACTAGATCCTAACATACAAGTATTTTAAGCCTCGGATTCAATGATTCCTGAACGAAGAAGACCCCCGGACCGACCCCTTCAGGATCGCCCGGGGGCTATGCCCATCGGGCACGCTCGCGCGCACCCTCTGGCAAAGAGACCCGGCAGATCCTGACTCGACCGAAGCTTCCACCAGGGGCTCGGGGCTTCCCTGAGCCTTGGGCTCCGGATCTACGATACCTCTGGGCACGGCCCTTGGCTCCTACCCGGCTAACGATGCTAACCAAGGTCCGGGCACAAGAAGACAAGCCCTAGGCTACCGATGCTCAAGGGCTCCCTGGCGCCGCTCCCTAGGCATGCCCCTGCCAACTGCTCCTCCGACAGGGTCACGACCGAGGCGTGACACAAGAAGACAAAAGCTTCCCATGGCCTCCGGGGTATCAGGTCCTTCCGGGCCCGCACGTCAGCATCTGGACCCGACCTCCTTTGCCACCAAGAAGACTCCAGAAGGTCTCACCCAGGGGAGGCCGGTCTAAGCCAACACCCTCTGACACGTAGAGTGTCAGAACAGAGCAGCCGGACGACGCCCAAGCTTCTTTGTCTCTAAGACATCTCGACGGTCCACAGCGCACTGCTGCTAGCCCCTCCTGAACTCCGACGCACATAGACCATAGACTAGAACCCTCAAACCATCTTGTACCTAACCTATCTCGTTATATAAGGGATAAGGTCGGACCTAGAGGGGAGAGGATCCTAGTTCGATCACTAGACACTCCATTCCATTCCATCCGCCTCCGCTCTGCTCCGAGAGCAAGGCAACTCGGAGAGGGGCATCGGGAGCCCCTCCTCCACCGCATCCCGTCGTCTCCTTCCTCTTCGACGAGAGGGAGACTCCACCGGCAGCGAGGCAACCTTAGGATTAGCGCCAAGCTAACCCCCCTACCAAATCTTCTTCCTTTACACTCTGTTGTGACCCCCCAGATTTTGGGTGCTCTTGAGTATAAGGATCATCAGCTGCTGGACGTAGGGACCGAATTGACCCGAACCAGGATAAACCGTTGCGTCTTCTCTGCGTGATTCTTGTGTTCCTGAGTCCATCCGAGCCACCGGAGACCCCATACTCTGACACCGACTCGAACAACATGCTTGCCGTGGTTTCGACCCCACGACACTAATGCAGATTTGTTGTGAGAGAAAAACAATGTTTGTTCGCTGAAAAGTACTACTGAAGTAGTGCTGAAGATGTCAGTAGGCGGCAGCGGCTCTAGATTGCGCGCGGTTCTCCATCGGTTGTGCGAAGAAAAGCTCGTTACTCCCTCGGTCACAAAATAAATACACATTTCGTTTCTTAAGAAGTCAAAGTTTTTTTAGTTTTACTAGAAACATACTCCCTCTATGTCTAAAAAAGAGTCATTCTCGCATCCTAAAAAGTCAACAACTTTTAATTTTGACTAAATATATTTAATAAAATATTAATATTTATGGTACAATAGATAGTACCATTAGGTAGATCGTTGAATATACTTTCATAATAAACTTATTGGAGATATAAATGTTGCACGCATTTTCTACGAACTTACTCAAAGTTGAGAAAGTTTGACCAGCACGATTCCCATAGCGACTCTTTTTTAGGGACCGAGGAAGTAGAAAATAATACTAACATTTGTATATCTAAATAAGTTTATTATAAAAGTGTCGATGCCAAAAAGTGACAAGGAGCCACCGACAC